TAGATGGTAGAAACTTTGGTGGTTAAAATATTTAAACAGCATTGTCGTGAGATTGAGTCCATTCTGCATTGGTTGTTAAAGTGCGTTTATTGAAGCTCTGAGTTGTTATATTTTTTTTATATTGTTTGTGTATTATGGAAGAAAAAATAAATTCAAAATCTCAGTCATTTTTGTTGAGCTGATTTACATTGACGGTTAGACTGGATGTTTTATTGATTATGTATTAATTATGTATTGATTATGTATTAAAGAATAAGTCAAATGTAAGTTGTTGTTGTTTTTTTTTCAATAAAAGAGAAAAAGTAAAAATGTTTGCCATCCAGTTTGATATATCTATCTATTTTTTTGGTTACTCAAACGCAAGTAAATTTCTAATTATAGTATCTTGGCACTTGTGTATAAAGTTAAAATCATAATAATTGAGTGTAGCGACATAGACTATAACAACGTGGTGATGTTCCAATGTCGTTTTAATAAAACGTTATTAACCTATATATTCTATCTATAAAAGTACAGTCAAGTCATGTACGGAGTCCTTAGAGACCAAACGAAGTCTTTGAGACGTTGTTAAAACATGCTAGCATATAGACACACACACGAAAACAAATAACACAGCATCAGGTAGTTATATTTTAGAATAATATTATAAATTTAAAATCATAAATAATATGCAACGGTAAACTGGTACACAATTAAAAACATTTTATTTAGGCCTATCTCTTGCTCTCTCTGACGACTATGGGCATAGTTTTAATAACAAAAGGCTTCGTCGTAAAACTGTCATGTTGAAAGCACACCTCTCCTTTCTGAGATCCTTCCATAAACATATCTAGTGTACGAGGACAAGGACTTCCCAGTGCCCTCTTCAACAGTACAATCGCATAGAAATATATATAAATTCTGCATCCGGTGCCTTGAACGGTATATCTTGGTATGAATAGCATAAGTACCCGTTTCATTTGCTAACTACATGAGGTATGCAATGGTTAAACAAATATGTCAGCTTGTGTACAAGTGACTTATGACACTTATACAAACGGAGATATTTCTTAATTGTGTTGCCTGCTATTACCAGGGGCACGTGCACGAATTCTAATCTGCTACAAGACACCGTATTTTGCTTCCCATGGGTGGGATACGACTTGTTACAGATCTCGTTTTGGATAGTAGTGGTGCCCCAA